CCAATGGGACTGATGATCTTACAGTTGTGTAACTTCTCGACGAAACAAACATTGAAACCTAGGAGCAAGACTCCAGCACAGCCTGCTGGGACCTCTTGGGCTCAAGCGATCTACTTCCCAAGTAGCTGGGACAGCAGGTGTGTGCCATCGATTCTGGCTTTTTTTTTTTTTTTTTTTTTTTTTTAAGAGACAGGGTCTCGTTATGCTGCCCAGGCTGGTCTCAAATTCCTGGCCTCAAGCAGTCCTGCCTCAGCCTCCCAAACTTGGGATTACAAGCATAAGCCACCCTGCCCGCCCCCAAATGCCACCTTTTCCATGATGCAGTTTCAATTGCAGCAGATTTCACTCTCCGTGAACTACCAAGCTGTGTTTATACTTTTCCCAGCACTGCTTATCCTGTTATTTGGGTCCTTGCGTGGTAGCAGCAGACTGCTCTGGGTTCAAATCCTGCCTCTGCTACCAAGCTGTGATCTTGGGCCAGTTATTTATTCCTGAATGTGTAAGATGGGAAGAACCACCAGCCTCACAGCGTGGTTTTCAAGTTCAAATGAGACAAAGTATCCAAAGGGCCTGGGGCATGCTAGCTGCTCCATCTATGCTTGGCCACCTTCTACATTTTTGCTCTCCAATTGCAATTGCCACACAGTAGATGCTAAACAGGTACCTGTTCCACTGAATTCCGCGCTGATGTCCCCCAGAGGCAGAGGTAGATGATGTGGCATTTTTCCAGGCAGGCTGCTACGTCTAACATTCCCAGGTCAGAATGCACACACAGGCCAGCTCCAGACACCGAAAAGCAGTCAGGAAGATCTTTGTTGTTCCGGGGTTTCGAGACAGGGTGTCTCACTCTGTCATCCATGCTGAAGTGTGGTGGTATGATACAGCTCGCTGCAGCCTGAAACTCCTGAGCTCACGTGATCCTCCTGCCTCAGCCTCCTGAGTGGGTGGGACTATAGACAGGCACCCGCCACCACACCCTGGTAATTTTGTGTGTGCACGCATAGAGACAGGACCTTGCTAGATTGACCAGACTGCTCTTGAACTCCTGGGTGTAAGTAAGCCTCCTGCCCCAGCCACCCGAAGTTCAGGGATTACAGACATGAGCCACCGCACCCATGCCTGATCTTGAGAATTAATTCAGCAAACAGCATTAGCCTTCCAGTAGCAAAAGGCACGTGAGAGGTGTTTGAAGAAGTTCCCAATCTTTCTCCAAACTAATTGTGCATCAAGAAGCAGCTCAGTCGTAAACACCTGGCACATCCCACGCCTGGGTTTTGCTTGTACTGGTCGTTCAGTCCAAAATGCTTTCACTCCCTATTTCTGCATCCCATCTCCCCTTTCATGCCTCGTCCAAATATCACTTCTTACACCAAGCCTTCCATGATTTCTCTGAACTCAGGGCCCTCTCATCAGTACCTCCTTCACAGCATGTGCTCTGTCCTGGGCCAGTGACATGTTCACTTTCATTCCTGGACTGAAGGCTTTTTGAAGGCAGGAACCATGACTGTTTCAATGCCCAGAAATAAGGACCCACATGGCGTAGAGGTTCACTAGATGTCAGAGGAATTCTTGGCTATTTGGATGGATGAATAAAATGAATAGAAACCATCCTCTTGGGATACCCAAGTCCTTCTACCACAGTGAGATTCAGACAAGTTTTCTCCAAGAAGGCAGGAAATGTTTCCTTCTGCCAGCCAGAATCTGTGAAGTGATAGACTGGCCTCAAGCCTTTGCAACCAAGTTTTAAATCTCTGTATCTAAATGGTCTGAGAGTGCCCATTCTGTCAGCAAAACCTTTCTGTCCAGCCAAAACCACATTGGAGCAGGGCTTTTTATGAACTGAATCTCAAGACATACACACTCTGTTTCTGTGCATTGGAGGAAGGGAGCTTGTGGTGGTGTCCGGCTGATGCAACTCTGAACACCCACGTTTTCAGCCAGGCTTTCTCCAAGGTGACCATGAGCAGTTATCAAGAAAGAACAAAGGCACAGCCACTTGTCCCTCCCTGACTCAAGAACAGAACTCCGTCCTTAAAGACTCATTCTGTCTCCCACACAGGATCTTAAGGGTCACCTGGTCCAGCGCTGCTCAGGCAAAAAGCCCCTCTAACCCCTAACAGTGGCCACCTGGCCCCAGCTGAATCCCTGGAATGGAATGAAGGCCATGGAAGTGTTTCAGTGTGGGGGCAGCACCTAGACTGGGACATCACTTTGGACCATAGCAGGTTTTCTGAAAGAATCTGTTAGGTTAACAGGACCTGTTCAATTGCATCCAGGTACCTTAGTATCTCCAGACTGAATCTGGGCCTCATGCGCTCAGGAACCAGACAGTGTCTGTCTGCCCATATATGATCTGTCTCTTCAGCTGTGGACTGAAGAAGAATCACACAGGGAAGATCATTTGAGACTGTGGGAGAATCTGCTTGTAGGAGCTGGAATCTTCTTGACTTTCATCCAGGAAACCTTCCAGTCCTTCTTGGGATCAAGGCACCAGGGAGCCAATTCAGAAGGCTCCCTGAGTCTGTTGAGTACAAAATCGGAGAATGGGGAGTCTCAAGGTCAAAATCATGATATGGTGAGGTCTGCTGAGCCAGCCCCGGGATACCTCGACTGGCCAGAGCCCTTGTGTGGATGGGGCCCCTGCTGGACGCGCTGGGGGGACTACCCTTGCTCTGGTTTCCCGTGGACCCTTCTAGGTGAGTCATGCCCCAGACGGTGCTATCTGTGCCTTGGCAGGGAGCCACCTCCTGGAATGGGGTCAAACAATCCTGAGAGTTCTAGAGGAGCCCAAGGTGGCTGCTGACAAACAACTGCTCCACATTTAAACAGTTTCAAACTATCAAGAGATGCTCTCAGATATTAGGCAGAAATCTTAAGTGTGCAGTTCTTACAAATGGCCCCACCATTGTGTGTGGTGGCTGCACTCACCTGCACTAAAGCAAAAAGCAGCCGTTCCAAGCTTAGCCAGATCCCAAAGGAGTGTACGCCTAGAACATTCAATCACAAACCCGAGCGCACATGCATGCAAACCTCCCACACAAAGGTCTCTACAAAGGACACTTCCCAGCATTCCACTCAGTCTCCCTGCATTCATTCAAACGGTGGTCAGATGCTGATAAAAAACAACTTAAAACTTTGTTTTTAAACTAGAATTTATTGGTATACAAAACTCCATTTCATAGATAAAGTGGCACATCTTTGCAGCTTCTATTGCACCGAGTATCGAAGATTAAAAACACAAGAAAAGAAACATTTGGTTTTGAAAACACTGCAAATAGCCAAGTACAGTACTTTGGTAAATAAAAAATAAAATGGTTTGGATGAACACAATCTGTGGGAAGAAACAATCTAGGGGGAAGGAACTACGGACGTCAGACAACGGTCACAATTCTCACCATCGAGCTCCATAGATAAGGCAAGACTTGCTAAGTCTATGGATCATGACCCCATGGAGGTCTTAATATCTCCAGACTGAAGCTAGAACAAGAATAGTGCAATTAGAAAAAGAGAAGGCCCCTTCTCCTCAGACACAGCCGCCCCTCCGTAAAGGGGACTGACACACGCCAAGACTTCTACATGGGAAAGGAGAGCCCCCGGGTGTGACATCTGACTCCTGGCTCTTCTCTCCTCTGAGCTTAGCGCTGGTGGAGGCTGCTGGAGGAGTCACTGGGGAGGCCAAGGGCCCTTCCTGCTATGAAAAGTGAACCATAAGAGTGGGAAAATGTGGGGACTCTCTCACCAGCACTGCTCGAGGGGCCTGCCAGGGATCAAACCACCGGCTGAGGTCTGTGGCTGAGCTCACATGATTGTCATGGAGGGCAGGCAGCCTGCTGCAGGCTGACACACTGAGGATGAGAGCCAGGCCACAGAGGGTCTGTCCGGCAACAACCACCAGCCACAAGGACTGGCAGTGAGCAGAGGTTGCTCTGGATCACGGCTATGCCCTGCTTAGAATAAATTCCCTATGCAAAAGTTTGTAGTTTTACAGAAATACTCTTTACACTGGTACCAGCCCCTTCTCAGGTAATTCTGCAGGGATGCTAAACATTTTCATGGAGCCAAAAAACAGTCCTACCAAGGACAGTAAGAGAGGGGCTCTACCACGCAGCTGCTTCGAAGACATAGGCCAGAGCCTGAGGTTTTAAAGGAATTTCGCCTCGGGACAGAAGAGGGTCGGGCCAGCCACAAGGCACAGCTTTCCGGAGGCCCCGCAGCAGCAGTGCATGGTAAGCTCCGCACGCCACGTGCACCTGCTGACTGGTGCTCCACGTTCTCTCCACATTCCAAAAATGACTGTCCCCTTTCTAATATGTGACGGCGGACGTTATAATTTAAATATGCCATCTACAGCTTCAATTCAATGATGTCATTAAAAAATACAATTTATTTTAGAGCCAGGAAAACACACCTTATAAAAAGTGCCATTATTACATCACCTCAGAACAACTGTCAAAGGCCCCAGAGTTTTAGCAACACTTGTTCTGAAAGCTGTGATGAATGAAACTGAGTAACGAGAACGGCAAAACAGAAAAACTGCATCAGACTCTGAGTCTACAGATTTAACCTGGCTAGACAGAGCCTTGAGGTAAGAAGGTGAAGAGCGATGCATCTACCCAAAACAGGAGTCGGAGAGGGCCACCGACGGGACACACTAAAATCAGGAAGCTCCGATCTCTTCCCCCTGCAAAGATCCTTCTGGTCAGGGTAATTCTTAGTCACCCCTGACTAGGAATCCAGGTTTCCTTTAACTGACTGAATATTTCAGAGGTAAACTGATAGCATTCTATGCTGACCCAGTAAAACCCAGGCAGAGTCTACAGAGTTTCTCAGAATTAGAGAAACTGCACATTGACTACAGGGACTCAGCTACGAGTACAGTTCAGTGCCAAAGTCCAGCCGATATTACCTATGTCATAGCGAGCAGCTCTCTCCCCAGCTGACAGTGGCCCTCCTCCCATCCCACCCCACCCCACCCCACCCCCACCCCACCCCACCCCGACAATCACATCATTTCATCATTTCACACTGAAGGAGCTCCCTGGGGGAAGCAGGGCAGGCATAATAAATCACCCACAGAACCTGCTCCCTCCATGCCAGCTCCAGCTGCTCCACAAGGGACATCCCACTTCCCAAGCCCTCAGAATCAAATCGGCATTGGAAGTGTTTTCAGAGCTTAATAAAGAAACTACAGAAAACTTCGATTAAAATTTAAAATTCTTTCTGCCACAATTCTCAACCATACGTTGCTCCTGAAAGTGTATATTCATTATTATTGAAAAACGAAATATACATACACATTCTACCTTTCTACTATCTCCTAGTGGCAACTACACTATCTAGAAGTTATGGTTCTATGTTGTTTTAATACATCTACTTCTCTAGTTCAAAGTTGTTGCCACTAAAATTGAATCTATTTTGACCTCTAAAAAAAAATCTTTTAAAAATCCCTAAAACCTTTATATACAGTTTATAAGAGCAGTAAGTAGCTTTGCACCACTGCTCCATCCGGTTTCTCCTGACCACACTGTAAGACAGTCCCATGTAACACATAACATAAATCTCTACCAGCCAAGCTGTAACACAGAGGTTAAGACACATTCAGTTCCTAAGAAAGAGTTCACATGAGTCCCTGTACTAGAGTAACAGCTCTGACAACAGTCATCCAGGACTACACATGCCGGGCCTCCACTCGGGATGCCAGTGAAGTAACTTTCAAGTGCACACTGAGGCAACTAAGCATATTGATTCCAACTATCTTATGCACTCCAGTGAGACTGAGGCAGTGAAGTCTAAATTCAAACCATTACCTAAGGGTATCACTCAAGTTGGATGCATGTGCCCCATTCCTAATCATTAACACACTAAACATAGACCAACTGTAACTGAAAAGCTGTGAAATAGTAATAAAAGAAAATGACTAAAGCCATTTCATTAGTTTTTTAAACCACCGTTAATATACTCCAGAAATGCTGAAGCCTATTATGGGAATTAGGTAATTTATAAATAAATGTTCCCAATATTCCTTAATAACTTTTTAGCAGCTTCTAAAACTTCTAAAACCCAACAGGGCCCAGGGCCACCTTCATTAAAGTTAAACAAAGCAATTCTATGACATCTGACAATGAGTCTCTCTGAAGTTGACTGCTAATCTGAATTTCTGGCATACAATCTTATCTTTATGAGAGGATCCGGCCTTCTGCACTCAAGCAGTACAAAACAGACAGGGAAGTGGATTCATTCAGAAACACCAAGCCAGTCAGGAATCTGCCCAGAGTTGAAAACCAAGACAACCATAGATCCTAAAGCACTGGCTCCCACCCCGTAGAGTAAGGCAACAGACACCTTTCGTTTGGGATCAGTAGAGTAACACGGCCTCAAGCTCAGGACTCTGTGATGTGCTCAGAAAAAACGCTGTACGGTTTTTTTAATCTGCTAAATTTTACGATGTACTATACCCAGGGAGAAGCCCAAACCACAATGTCCTAGGAGCAATTCCAAGAGACTACTGATGCTCCAACTACAAAAGCCACTAAAGTCAAAAAAAAAAAAAAAAAAAAAAAAAAAGATATCAGTAAAACTGAAGAAAGCAAATGGCCTACTGATAAAGACAATCTCTGACAACTCCAGGGCCTGCCAACATTTTTATGGTTCTGAAATGTGAGGGGTGGAGAAGATAAAATCAATTCAGCATCAATTATTTGCCCAAGTATTGGGTTCCAAAAGACAAAGACTATTCAAGATGAGCTACGTCATACGTTACGGGTTTTAAGTTCGCATCCACATAACTCAGTTTTAGGAATGACATCTCTCCACTGCCCAAGTCTGTCTATTTCAGAACTGAAGAGTCATTCAAAGGTCTTAACCAAAGCATGTTCTCTTCCCTGATGGTCCAACAACTTCCAGCAGATGTTGGAGTTTTCCCAACTTTGAAATGCCAAACAGGGCTTAAATAAAAAGAAATGAATGTGGCATTTTATAAGATTTAATTTCCACAATACTAAGTTTAGCGACCTGTAAGGTCAAGTTACCATGTATCTCTCTGAAGGCATCTAAGTCTAGAATAGAAGGGAAAAAAATCATTATTTAAAATGTGAACAGGAAAACCCTTATTCTTCTAGGTTTCTCCTATAAAAACATTTAATTCTTTCGACTCCTCTTAGGCAGAACCCCAGGAGTTCTTCTCCTGTTACAGCTACAGACCCTGCTCTACAAACTTTCGGAATTCCAGAACTGTAACACAAGCAGCAGCATGCCATCTTCCCACTGTCAGGAAACAAATACCAAAACCCCAACACCATGGTCAACTTCCCAATAGGGCCTAGGCCTGATTAACAGTCAGCTGCATTTATCATGTGGCTTGAGTGCAAATAACTAACAGCACCTGCATCCCATCTGAAAGAATCAGGAAAGACAGAAATGCGGCTGTTCAATTTCCATCCTGACTGCAGGCCACAACCCTCATATAACTCTAGGAAAACAATTCCCGAATTATTTTCTGAGTAACTTGTATTCGAAGAAAGTAAAATCTAAACATATTCCTGAGTTGGAGATCATTTATAAGCTACCCTATATGTTAGTATCTGAAAATGAAAGAGAAACTAAGGAAACTTGTCATTCTGAATTTCTAACAATTATTCTAAACTACTTCATGAACCATTACAGCAAAACTCACCCCAAATGTTAAGGAAAGATCCTAGGGTCACTGAAGTCTTTTCAGGGCAAATAAAGCCACCATTTAAAAGGTTTTTCCTGACCTATCTGCCCCTAAAACTTAGTAGTTTAATTTTGTATTACAGAATATGAATGGCTTCACTGCATTTTCATAAAACAAGACATACCACTAATAAAACTTTGAACAAAAAAGAGGCAGCTCGAAGGAAACTAACTCAGTGTTGTGGGCTCATGTGTGAGCTTTGTTGGTTGTGTTTCATTTTATAAAAGGAGGGCCTCGGTGGGAAGTCTGGCACACAGCACTCCTTTTCTAGCCGCTTCTTAAAACTCCCAGGATGCCAGAGAGTCAGATGTTGAGAGCAGCAAAGGTCTTCACCAAGGTGACCTGCGTGCTTGCTTCCGCTTCACTTCTGCTGTCCCTGTGGCCGCCTCTGCTCTCCAGGGCTTTGTGGCGGTGCCTCTCCTCCTGCCGCTTCTTCTTCTCCAGCCACTGCTGTTCTCGCCTCTGTTTGTTTGTGACCTGAGAGAGAAGGCCGCAGTAATGAGTAGGCAGCACGGTGACTCAGGCTGCCAACTGCGAGAATGGAGATGGTGGCAAAGGGCACAGATTGCTTTTCAGCAGGAACAGGGAAAACCAATCTAAGAAGCCAAAGACGATTCACTGTCCACTGCTGCTCAAATTTACATTGAAATTTGATTTTCCTTGCTGAACTAGCAAACAAAATCAGTTCCATTCTTCTCATAAACCAACTCAAGAAGACCTAAAGAAGCCAGCCCTCATCCAGCGGGAGGTAACACACACGTGTCAGAGGACACCTTTCCCCACATAATTTAATGTCCCAGGTAATTCTGACAAAATCCTCAGCAGCTTATTGTATCTTTGCCTCTGCTGTGGCTTTTTACGCTGTGTGGCATTTTGAGCTCAGAACTTCCTGGTGAAAATCTTTAAAATGATTCTAAATTCAGTAAAATGGAAGATGTCACATACTACCTGTGGGAGTGAAGGGCGGGGAGGGGGGATGTACCTTTCTGGGAAGCACTTGATAATTTACCAAAAGCCTTTAAAGATTCACATATCCATGACCTTTAACCTGTTCATTCCTCTTCTGGGATTTTATCCAAGAAAATAATGCAAAAGCCAAAGATTTATACACAAAGGTGTTCCCTGCAGATCATGGCATTCATAAAAAACATGGATAAACAAAGGAATGGCCCACACGTACAGCAATGTTAGGTGGGAAAAGGAGGCTTTTCATGTGTACACTGAGGACAACTTTAGGGCATATTTCCTTCCAATTGTCACTGCATATGCCAAACAGGACAACTGAGGTCATTCTGCTTCTTGATCAATCTTTATGCATTCCCCAGATTTTCCACACTAACTACTTTTATAAATCGTAAGGAAAATACAAATAAAATGAATCTCAAGTTCCCACCACTGTCACGGAATTATACTGGCCCACCACCTCCCCTTCTGACCCCATCTCACATACCTTTGGGGCTTGTTTTTTATTTGCTCGGTTTTCTTCACTGGGGCTGGCCCGTGCCTTATTATTTTCAGTCCTGCCTTCATTTAAGCCCTGATTTCCAAAGATCCTGGCACCACTGCCACCCTCTTCCCATAAAGGGCCACACTGCTTCGACACGCGACCACTGGGCTCAAGATTCTCTTCTGCATCTTCCAAAGAAAGATATTTCATTAAAATTGAGAAACACACAAAGAGAGTTACACAGGGTGATTACTGTATTAAATGATTACAAAATTACCTGGGTCACTAGTTCAGTCAAATGGCAAGTTAAGTTTCCTTGAGATAAATTCTAATGTCAAGACAGTGGGAAACATAGGAAGAAAACACTGGTAAAACTTGGAAGATAAACTTTAAAATAACCCACTGACCAGCCTTTTGATCAGCTTCCTACCAGCAGAGTGCTTTATTAGATAAATTATGTTTTAACATGAATTTTTCTGGGAAAATCTTCCATTTGCACCCAAAACCCAGAAAAGAAACAGGCTCTGAAGCTATGCTGTCCAATGTATTAGCCACCAGCTAGACGTGGTCATTTACATTTAAATCAAAATTAAACAACATTTAAAATGTAGCTCCCCAGTCTCACTGCACACTTGATAGGTACATGTACTAGACTGAACAGCACAGATCACTGGTGGGTGCTGTTTAAAGTCATAAAGACCTAGTTACTTACAGATTTCTAAGAAAGTACAGCCAATACATAGTAGATAATAAAGCACCCAATCACATGGAGAACTATGACGCCAGAAACAGTATCTGGCATATAATATCTGGCAATCAGTATTTATTGATGTCATTTTAAATAAATGACTTGAGAAATTAACGAGATGTTACATCTCTTTTTTTTTTTCCTTTTTTTTTTTTTTTTTTTTTTGAGACAGAGTCTCACTCTGTCACCCAGGCTGGAGTGCAGTGGCGTGATCTCGGCTCACTGCAACCTCCGCCTCTCGGGTTCAAGCAATTCTCCTGCCTCAGCCTCCTGAGTAGCTGGGAATACAGGCGTGTGCTACCACGCCCAGCTAATTTTTGTATTCTTAGCAGAGACAGGTTTCACCATGTTGGTCAGGCTGGTCTCAAACTCCTGACCTTGTGACCCTCACACCTCAGCCTCTCAAAGTGCTGGGATTACAGGCATAGGCCCCCCCAACCCAGCCCGGCCATTACATTTCTTTTCTTTTGTCTGAGTCACAAATTAAACTTGGTTCAAGTTAAAAAATAAAAGCAAAATTATCACAAGTTAATAGAAATCTAAATATTTCTATCAGAAAAACAAGGTATTTCTCTCTCCATTTTATTTTGGTTATCATTTGGGTCGTCTAAGGGGATCTGATTTCTAAACAGGATAATTCTTCCCTGATGCATCCCCCAGCACCTTGTATTCCCACCCCAATAGATACTATCACACCATTTTACCATCCACCCTCCACCCCTAAACCATACTCCCCCTGAAACAGGGCCAGGACCTAATAAAAAATGTCTATACACAGAATGTGCTCAATAAACAACTCCTAAATGAATGACAGAACAATTACCACCTGTGACTTGTGTCACCTGATTAAAAATAAATATTTGGAAAATTACCAACACAACCATTTTGAAGGCTTATAAATATTAGTCATGGACTTACTATTTCTCTTCCCCTGGTTCATCTGAAGCATGGCAATTATTGCAGATTCAATATTATAATTTTCAGCTTCCAGGTTTTGGACTATTAAATTAAAATCCTATCCAAGAAATAAACAAAAAAATCACTTCAAAACTCTGGGTATATTTTTCTACCTAGCTCTACTTCAATAATCATAAACATAAAGATGTAATAGTGAGAATCTACACAAGGTTTCAGAACCTTGTCCATTTAGAAAATGTCAATTTTCAATAAGGTCAATCCCTTGAAATAACCATTTAATGTACATTTATAAATGAATTCCCTTTATAAGACTGCATTTGTACTACTGTAAACACTTGTCAGGAAAAACTAAATCCAAACTTCCTGAGAATTTTGAGCAGTACTGGGTGAAGTCTAGGAAACAACAGGGAAATGAATAAACAGCTCTCATTAAGCCATATAAGCTAATCGAACTACAAATTTCATGGGCCTGTTTTGGCCCACAAGGTGCTAATACGCTGGAGGTGCTATGAAACTAGGACGTAACCTAGGCACAGCAACGCTTGCTTCTAAATCACTCCTGCATAACAGAAATACTAACTGAACATCCAGTGGCATTACAAACTTTCTGGACAGCATCCTCTACTTCGTCTCTCAGGTCATCTTCAGAGTCTACTCCCTTTGTCTTGATCTTTTCTCTTTTATTTGATTCATCTTGATGAAGCATCTGAAACTAAAGGAAACAAATAATAATCAGGGAACTATGTTGAAAATCAAACTGTGTTCAAAATCTTCAACCTAAGACATTCTAATCTCAAAAAATTCAGATATATAGGGAAAAACATCTAGAAACAACCTTAAGAGAACAGCAATGACTAGGCTACATTTTATCCACTCATTGTGCTTCAAGTCACAATGGAGGAATTGAAAAGAAAGGCCCAAAAGACAGAATAACTGCTCAGCAAGAAAGGCATTAGCACTCCCAAGGTTTCTAGATGTCAACACTGGCAGTAACTGCTGTCTCTGACAGCACACAGTTGTCTCAGCTGATTTTTAGAGCCGTGAGTTTCACAGAAGAGGATCCTCTATACTCGCACCTGATGAACTTTTGCACAAAAACAGTGCTGATCTTGAAGAAACCTACATACAACTTCCCTCTGGTTCCCAAGCCTTATTTGATCATCAGCACACTTAGAGGTACTGAAGCTCTTGTTTCAGCTGGACAGCCACGGGTGAGCATGACTCATCTAACCTCAGGTGCATACTAATACTACCACACTCAGGAAAACTTGTTAATCCAAATCCTAAAGCCACAAAGAACAGTTCACTTGGTGTCCATGAGACCTTTACAACCTGGGCCTTAAATCAGAAAAGCTAAAATCATCCCTCTGTAGCTGCTCAACCACCTTCTTCTTCCCATTAATGCAGGGAGATAGGTAAATGGGCAAAGACAGTTCTATTTTTCGAATGTAATAGTGGAGTCCAGCAGTGTGCAGTATATTCCTTAGAATGTTAATACAAAGCATTCTATTAAAAAATTAAACCCTAACAATTTGACAAAGAGTTACAAGAGTCTTTGACCCAGCAGTTTCACAGCTTTGACATTCAGCCAAAGGAAATAATTTCAAATAGAGAAAAGATGTATGGGCCTGGCACGGTGGCTCATGCTTATAATCCCAGCACTTTGGGAGGCTGATGGGGGTGGATCACTTGACCTCAGAAGTTCAAAACCAGCCTGGGCAACAAAGTAACACCCATCTCTACAAAAAAATACATAAAGTTAATCAGTCATAGTGGCATGTACCTGTATCCCAGCTACTCAGGAGCTGAGGTGGAAGGCTGGCTTGAGCCCAGGAGGTGGAGGTTGCAGTGAGCCAAGATCACACCACTACACTCCAGCCTGGGCAACAGAGCTAGACCTTGTCTCAAAAAGAAAAAACAGAAAAGAAAAGAAAAAGAAGCAAAAGGGTTATGTAAAAGTCCTCACAACAGTGTTACTTATAGTGATGAATAACTGGGAACCCCCCAAAGGCTTTGTAATATGGACTTGGTTAAATAACCACGGAATGATGTCTTCGTTCCCACTAAAGGAAGTAGCACAACAATCACTCCCACCATTATTATTTCACAGTATTTTGGAGGTAACAGCCAAAGCAATTAGCCAAAATAAATTATAAGATTAAAAAGAAAAAAGAAATCTCTTTGTAGATGATACAACTCTATAACTGAAACAAGAGAATCAACAAAAAAACTACTGCAAACCAAAAACATTACAGCAATCATATACCTGATAAGAATCTGGCATCTAAAATATATATATAATGTGCGTGTGTGTGTGTGTGTGTATATACATATACATATATATATATATACATATATATATATATATATATATATATATTTTTTTTTTTTTCCCCCTGAGATGGAGTGTCGCTCTGTAGCCCAGGCTGGAGTGCAGTGGCGTGATCTCAGCTCACTGCAACCTCTGCCTCCCAGGTCCCGGTTCAAACAATTCTCCTAGCTCAGCCTCCCAAGTAACTGGGATTACAGGCACAAGCTACCATGTCCAGCTAATTTTTTTTTGTATTTTTTAGTAGAGACGGGGTTTCACCATGTTGGCTAGTCTGGTCTCGAACTCCTGACCTCATGATCCACCTGCCTCAGCCTCCCAAAGTAATGGGATTACAGGCATGAGCCACCGTATCCCACCAAATCTAGAATATATTTTAAAAAGCTTTTACAACTCAAAAACAAAAAGGCAGAACCCAATTCAAAAACAGGCAAAAGGGCCAGGAGCGGTGGCTGACACCTGTAATCCCAACACTCTGAGAGGCCAAAGCGGGTGGATCACGAGGTCAGGAGTTCGAGACCTGCCTGGCTAACATGGTGAAACCCCATCTCCACTAAAAATACAAAATTAGCCGGGTGTGGTGGCACACGCCTGTAATCCCAGCTACTTGGGAAACTGAGGCCAGAGAACCACTTGAACCCGGGAGGCGGAGGTTGCAGTGAGCTGAGATTGCACCACTGCACTCCAGCCTGGGCAACAAGAACCAGGCTCCATCTCAAAAAAAAAAAAAAAAAAAAAAAAAAAAAAAACAGGCAAAAGACTTGAATAGGTATTTCTCCAAAGATATACAGATGGCCAAAAAGCACATGAAAATATGTTCAATGTCATTAGCTATTAAGAAAATGCAATTCAAACCTTTAAGATACTAACTAGGATGACCATTTACGAAAAAAAACAAGTGTTGGAGAGGATGAAGAGAAAGCAGAGCTTTCATATATTACTGGTGGTAAGTAAAAGAGTGTAGCTGCTGTGGAAAACAGTTTCGCAGTGCCCCTCAAAGTTAAATTTAGATTTATCATACGACCCACTATTTCCACTCTGAGGTATATCCAAAAAGACTGAAAATAGGTTATTTGTGCAAATACTGGTACACAAAGACTCACAGCAGCACCATTCTCCATAGCCAAAAGGTGGGAACAACCTAAACACCCATTAACAGATGATGCACAAAAAATCATCTCTCCATACAATGGAATATCATTCAGACATAAAAAACAATGAAGTACTGATACATGCTACACCACCAATGAATCTCAAAAGCATTATACAGAGTGATAGGAGCCACAGAGAAAAAGTCACATACTGTATAATTCTATTTGCATAAAATGTCCAGAATAGGCAAATTCATAGAGCCAAAAAAGGCAGACTGGTGATTGAGAGGGGAGAGGGGGAACTGGGAGTGACTGCTTAATGGGTATGGGGTTTTCTTTCTGGGGTGATGAAAATATTTTGGGACTGTTCAGAGGAAGTGGTTGTACAACCACCACTGTGGGTGTACTGAGTACCACTCAACTGTACACTTTCAAGTGATTCATTTTATGTTATGTGAATTTTGCCTTAATTTTTAAAAAGAGAGGGAGCTCGGTGGGATACCTAAATATGTAATTAACATTTTGTTAATTAACAGCTCTCATTGACAAATAACTAGCTAGACAATATAAAAGATCTCTTTACAATAGAAACAAAAACCACAGAACACCTAAGAATAAACTCAACAAGAAAGGGCACGATCTATATGAAGAAAATGTTCCTATGGACGACAAAGTCAATTAAATAAAAGACTCAACATCAAAAAGATGTCAGCTTTTCCTTACTCTATTAACTTAACGAGATTCCAATTTTTAAAAACTCAAAAGGGCCAGGCACAGTGGCTCACATCTGTAACCCCAGCACTTTGGGAGACCAGGGATCACTTGAGGTCAGGAGTTTGAGACCAGTCTGACCAACATGGTGAAACCCCATCTCTACTAAAAATACAAAAATTAGCCAGGCATGGTGGCCAATGCCTGTAATCCCAGCTACTCGGGAGGCTGAGGCAGGAGAATCGCTTGAACCCAGGAGGCGGAGGTTGCAGTGAGCTGAGATCGCACCACGGCACTCCAGCCTGGTGACAGAGAAAAACTCTGTCTCAAAAAAAAAAGCTCAGTAGAATTTATTTTGAACTACATATTGATGCTAACATTCATTTAAAAGAAGGAAAAAAAAAGCAAGAACGTATGAGGAAACTCTAAAAAAGAAGATTAATTATCAGTTAAAAAATTCCACCAGATTTTAAAATATACTAACTAAAACAATGAGGCATCAACATGTGAACAGGGAGATCAGTGGACCAGAACTACATGTCTAGGAACAGACCCAAATACATATGAGAATTTAGTATATGCAGAAAGAAAAAATGGCATTTTCAATCAGCCGAGAAAAGATGTATAATCAATCAGTGGTTTGGGTACAACTAGGTACCCCAACCTAGTTGTATATATATTCTGTTGTATATATCACAAGGGAAATATAAAGTTGGATCCGTAGCCTCATACCCTTACAGGAATATAAATTCCAAATGAAGCCAAGATGTTATTTTTTTTTTTTAAGTGAAAGTATGAGCTGGGTACAGAGGCTCACATCTGTAATCTCAACATTTTGGGTGGTCAAGGCAGGAGGGTCACTTGAGTCCAGGAGTTCGAGACCAGCCTGGGCAACAAAGTGAGACCCTGTCTCTACAAAAAAATAAATAATTAGCCAGGCACAGTGATACACAGCTGTGGTCCCAGCTACTCAGGAGGATCGCCTGGGCCTGGGAACTTGAGGCTGCAGTGAAACATGATCATATCACTGCACTCCAGCGTGGGTGACAGAGTGAGATCCAGTCTCAAAAAAAAAAAAAATTAATAATTAAGTGAAACTATGAAAATAATAGAATAAACTATAGGAGAATTCTTTTTAACCTCAGAATGGGAAAGATTTTCCTGGTTATGCCACCAAATCAAAAGGGCATATAAGAAAATCATAACAAATTTAACCATGTAAAAATCTAAAATTCTTTCACAGCAAAGACCGAAGGAGAAAGAACAAAAAGACAAATGACAGAGTACGAAAAACTATCTGCAACTCATATCACAGACAGAGCTTAACTCCCTAATGTATAAACAGCTCCTCAAAATCATTAAGACAACTTAATAGGGAAGAAAATGAATACCATTTACAAAAAAGAAAATAGAAATACGCCTTAAACACAGGACAAGATGCATAAATAAGAAAAATGCAAATTAAAACTAGGTAAGGTAAACAATTTTTGCCCTAACAATGAAAAGGATTCAAAAATTTGGTAACACTATGTTGTCGAAGGGACAGGAAAAGAGCCATATATTCAGAGTGGGAGTTTAAACTGGTGAAATCTTGTTAGAAAGTAATTTGACAATACCTATCAACATCCTCTGATGCGGCAAGGACCTTCTAGGAACGTGTCCCGCAGACACGTGTGTGGAATGAGGTACATAAAAGGTACGGAACATTACTTGTAATAGCAAAGGGTTGGAAGCCATCCAAAAGTCCATCAGTAAGTGACTGGTCAAAAATATGACAATGCATCTACAGAACAGAACACTATATAGCCTTTAAAAAGGATATAGGAAGTTTCTTACGTACTACCATGAATTAAATCCCAAGACATGTTCAACTTAAAAAGCACAGTGCAGGATGTATGTGTGGGATGTGTAGGATGCTACAACTAGTCGGGGGGAGTGTACAATGGCAAAAGTGGAACATGTGCACATACACGTACACTTGCTTGGTATGGGAACTACGGGAGATTTTACGATATACTGATATCACTGACTGCATCCAGGGAGAACAGTGTGCCTGAAAGACAAGGGTAGGAGAGTGACCTTCACAATATATCCCATTATGTATTTTGAATTCTAATCCATGGACAGACAGGACCTATCCAAGAATTAAAATTGCCCCGCACTGTGGCTTCCAACACGCTGGGAGGCCAAGGCTGGAGGATCACTTGAGCTCAGGAGTTGGAGGGCTGCCTGGGCAACATAGTGAAATCTCACCCCTCAAAAAAATTAGAAAATTAACCAAGCGGCCGGGCACGGTGGCTCAAGCCTGTAATCCCAGCACTTTGGGAGGCTGAGGCAGCTGGATCACGAGGTCAAGAGATCAAGACCGTCCTGGTCAACATGGTGAAACCCCGTCTCTACTAAAAATACAAAAAATTAGCTAGGTATGGTGGCACGTGCCTGTAATCCCAGCTACTCAGGAGGCTGAGACAGAAGAATTGCCTGAACCCGGGAGGCAGAGGTTGCGGTGAGCCGAGATCGCGCCATTGCACTCCATCCTGGGTAACAAGAGCGAAACTCCGTCTCAAAAAAAAAAAAAAAGAAAGAAAGAAAATTAACCAAGCATGGTGGCACACACCTGTAGTCCTAGCTACTCAGGAGGCTGAGGTGGGAGAATCGCTTGAGCCCAGGAAGACAAGGTTGCTGTGAGACATGATGGTGCCACTGCACTCCAGCCTAGGCAACAGAGCAGAGCAAGACCTTATCTCAGAAAATAAATAAAATTGCTTAAAAAACAATGGCTGTGGATAGTGTGTAAAAACATGAGAAAAGGTTTATTTGATAATGTTAATTTTTAAAAACAGGAAACAAACCTATATAAATACAATGTCAACCATGTTTTAATGGATTAAATAACTGAAAGGAAATCTACCAAAACAGTAACAAAATTTACATTCAGGTAGCTGAGTTGACTTTGTGCGCTTTTTATTTTCTTCTTTACCTTTCCTATATTTTTTAGATTTCGGATAAGCAGCATGGATTAAGGCACATGTGGCTGCTCACGCCTGTAATCCCAGCACTTTGAGAGGCCGAGGTGGGCATATCACCTGAGGCCAGGAGTTAGAGATCAGCCTGACCAACATGGAGAAACCCCGCCTCTACTAAAAATACAAAATTAGCCAGGTGTGTGGCACACGCCTGTGATCCCAGCTACTCGGGAGGCTGAGGCAGAAGAATCGCTTGAACCCAGGAGGCTGAGGTTGCAGTGAGACCAGATCAAGTCATTGCACTCCAGCCTGGGCAACAAGAGTGAAACTCCATCTCAAAGAAAAAAAGCATGATTAATCTTAAAACATAAAAATAATTTTAAAATTCTATGTATCTTATACGCACACAATCGTACCTATCAGCTATTAGGGAAAGCAAAAAAACAAGAAGCAATTTTATCTGTCACTCTCACCTAAACTAAAAAATAAAAACATATTTTTAAAATCAGGCCCACAGATTCTTAATGCCAACTTTCCACAAAAACATCACTGGCTTTTCGCTCCAAAAAGACAGCTCTCGACCTGTTTCCTTCAGGGCTGAGAATAAGGAAGAAAACCGAGGCCTCACTCACATCCGTCTGGAGATGCGCAGGTGCCTCTGAGTTGTCATTGATCCTCCGAACACTGTCGTAGTGCTCTCCATACCGATATGCGATGTGTAACTCCCGCACGCTGCTCTTATCTGTACCACGAATCTGTAGCCAAAAAAAAAAGGGGCCCTGCTAGTGAGGATCTATCTGACACTGTCAACTTCTGAAGAGAAATGCCCACCTGGACTACTGAGGAAGCCCAGTCAGCAGTTCTATGCAGAGACGAACTGGGCACATGCCTGGGATATGTCACAAGCAATTTCCAAACTATCTCCTTCCTATGCCTGTAGACTTCTATGTGCTTATGTAATATGTAATTCTATGGAAATAAATCCATGTAAGAAATTCAAAAACCAGAGGCAGACTTGCAATGAAGTTAAATAAGCTTAAGCTTCAGAGACTTTAGTACCTCTTAGCCCCTCTAATGCACAAGTCCCTTCTAGGGCAGAAGGCCCAGGGGCAGATCCAGATTTGTTGAGCTTGAAGCCCTAACTATGTGAAGGCTCTCAGACGAAAAAAATGCAAAATTACAAATATAAAATTGGTGGATCCTCTCCCAAGACCTAGAAAGGGAGTCAAACAAATGAGTGACCTGACACTTCGTTAGCTTCACGGTAAATCCACCCCTTTCTTTAAAATGAAAATAGCATTTTCTGTTAACAAGTAAGTGAGAAACATTATCAACAACAAACCCAAATCTCCCACCTACATCAATTTCAAAACAAAATTATATACAGTAAAGTAGAACTGCTGCACTGCTCAACCCTGGAGGCACCACTCACAAGATATTCTATGTGAACTACACCCCTGATGCACCCAAGAATGGGGCTCCCTAGAGTCGTGAAGCCCTAAGGTCTGGGCATACCCCAAATAAAACCGCCAGCTCCACAGAAACTCTCATTCTGACTCTGTCCCTTAGAAAGCCCAGTAACTTTGTTTAAACTCCAAAATATCAGCACATTCTTTTTACTGAAGGTCACAGGTAATAAGATACTACCCTTAATTTAAACAGTATCCGTGGTCTAAAAACACACCAAAAACCATGGAACAGGAACTACACAAGGCTAGATGTCAGTAATATGGACGGTTTCTCCGGTAGAGTACGCAGACCTTAAGTGCAGAGGGTCTGGTTTAGACACATACAAAATAGAGAGAGCACCATTTGTCTCCCAGAAGAGCAATGGGAAAGGAAACAGTCTATTAGAATCTTTGAATGACATAATCTCTAAAGTACTTACATGCTTAATAGTATACAAACATTATGAATAGAAAAAATAACTGGAGGAATATTCACCAAACTTGTTAACTGTGACTTTCATGGGCAGATTACAGACGACTTGCATGTTCTATGTTACACACATCTAGATTGTTCACAGGAGAACACGTTCCAATTATAACCAGAAAAAAAATGTAGGTGTCTATATCTCCATTGTGTGGGTATAAATCTACTCTTTATTAATGCAAGAGCTCATAACCATGACAGTAGCAACCAACGGAGTTTTAGTTCTTAAATTTTATGAGATGCTTCACTGGGGTAGGAAGACACAGGGGATACCAATGGAAATATTAATAAATTTATTTTAAAAATATATACTTACAATGTTCAGGAATTTATGAAAGAGAACACTACAGAAATAAATTTGAAAAAAAAATATATCAATGCAGAACTGTCTTCCACAACTACCTAGGTAACTAAGAAACTTTGGGAAAAAAGTCACCAATGGAGGAAAAGGAAAGCTGATTACTGAGTTGGTGCTATTTTCCTGCAAAATGAGGATCATTATGCTGTGTATTCAAATGATTTTGATAATTTCTGCCAAAGAATGTAAGTTTAATAGCAAAAAATTAGAACAAAGGGGTAACCAGTATTCTTGCTCAAACATCACCCTTAGAAAAGAGAGCCCCATGGAAAATATGATAGCTCTATCTGGTGTCGGGACATCCGCAACACTGCCCCAAAGAACACACACAGATACTGTTTCACTCCTGCTCATTCTATCCCCATAAGGTAAAACTTCTCACCATCTCTGGAGTATCTTATTTTGTTGTAGCATGATTTTGTTAAAACGACACTGTGCCAGGGACAAAAGGCTAGTTTAATATGACATTCTGGAAAGGCAAAACTGTAAGGACAAATCAGAGAACGGCTACAAGAGGCTGGGTATTGGGGGAGGGGGCCCGTGACTACAAAGAGTCTGGAAATAACTTTTTGGAGAGTAGACTGGTCTGTGTGTTATAGCGGTGGTGGTTACACAACTGCGTTTGTCAAAACACATAGACCTATACACTTGGAAAAGGATGAAGTTTGCTACATGTAAATTTTATCCTTATAAACCTATTTTTGATCAGCAAATGCTGTGACAGAGCAATTTACAAAGGAATATATGCAGGTGCCATATTAAAAAAAAAAAGGCACTGTTACCTTTATGCTAATAATATATAAGGACAAAGAAGTGTGCGTATATATGTTAGTATGGATACATGTGTGTATGTGTTTTAAATGTGTGTAAAAACATTGTGGTATGTTCCTTTCTAGTTATGTATCAGTGTTTTTGTTGTTGCTTTTTTAATGAGTGAGAGGTTCTTATGTTGCTCAGGTTGGCCTGGAACGCACAGCCTTGCCTCCTCAAGCGCCACGACAACTGGCCAGAGCCACCGCGGCTCCCCGTATCAATGTTTTTTATAGCCAAGTGTGTGTGAAGGACAGAAATACTCACTAAAACATTAACAGCAACAATCTCCCTCTGGGTGATTTAGTAAAATTTTAAATATAATTTTTAATAAAATATTTTTGTTGCCTTTATGAGCTTTTTCAATTTTCTAACTTTTCTACAATTACTGTATTTTAACTTTTTTAATTAGAAAAAGTGAGAAATGGGGGAGTGGTGCAGCAGGGCAGGGTGGGTAAGAGATGAACTGAAATCACACACCGTCTTTAGGAGCTGAGGTGCAAAGCAACACGCAGCACTCTGACTTCAGGGGGTGGTAGCCTATGTTTCCACATTAGGTTCTCTGCCCTCAACCTGCCTAATTAGCCCAATTAGATGCTCGAATAATATTTAGAGCATCTATAAAGATTTCTAAATTATACTCCAGACTCCATTTGTACATAGCACAGGGATTACTTCTGAGCCACCACAAGATTCCTGTCTTTGGTTACTCTGCATAATTCAATGTCACAGGTCAAGCCCCATCATCTTTGGATATTCCAAAGCTGATTTGTAAATACAAGCTTAAGATAAATGTTTAAATAGGTGACCTACCTGCCACAAAGGGGCATTAAGTTGATGAATCACTACATTCAACTGATGATTTCTTGCAAAGGCTACAATTGCATCATTGCCAGCAAAAGTACCAGGCTTTGCCAAACTGGCCACTGCATGGAAATAGAAAAGAAAAATGAAGTCTTTACAGCGGAAAAATCCAAATGCAAACGTGCTTTGGTATTTACTTATATTCCAAATAATGAGAGACAAGGATATATACAGTATCTGAAAAGTCCATTAATTTTGTCAGAGTCTAGGAATTTAGCTAGTTGAACAACACAAAGACTGCTACCCAGAAGAACGCTAGTCATTCATAAAGCAAGGACCCATTTATTTATTCCTTCAATGTCTGCCGATTACTTCCAATGTGCTAACTCAATAAAAGGCAGTGGAAACATAACAAACACAATAATCTTAGCAGCTTGCATCAGAGAATGGTTATTATGTGTCAAGCGCTAGTCTAATCAAGTCTCATACACAAGTACTATTATACACACCATTTTATACATGAGGAAACTCAGATGCAGAATGGCTGAAAACTGTGCCAAGGTCACAGAGCCGGTACACAGAGGAGGTGAGGTTTCACTGAGGCAACCTAATGCCAAGGTCCTGGCTCTTGGCCACTCGATCCATTTTCCCTCATGGACTTTATAACCGGTGAGGGGCAAACAAGATAGGCACTGATGATGCATAAGTACCTCGGGAAGGGCATGTGTAGTAAGAATCTGGCCTTGCCCAAAGCGAGGTCTGGCCTTTATCCTGGGCTCCTGGGAGGTCACTTCTAACACTCCAGAATTCCCAAAGGTGATGGGAGTGTCTGCTATTCATGATGGGCCCCTCCACCACACCTGGTATCAGCCCTTTGTGGTGGTGATCAGGTGAGGGGGGAGACTGAGTTCAACCATTCATACAAACAATAAATCGATAAGCAAAACAAAACAAAAACTTCTGGACACCAAAGTTGGGGTGAGCTTCCCCAGGTGACAATATTCTGTGTGTACCATCACACACAGATGCCAGGAGGAGAATATGCCCTAAAGTAAACAGAAGCTTCTAGTTTGGAACCTTTCCAGACTGCCCTATGTATCTCTTCCTTTGGCTAGTATTGATCTGTATCCTTTCCCTGTAACAAACCGCAACAGCTTTCAGTGAGTTCTGTGAGTCCTATTACCATATTATGGAACCTAAGGGTGGTTCTGAAACACTCCCAACTTGTAGATGGTATCAAAAGTTGAGGGAAGTCTTGCAAGGACTGTGCTCTCAAAACCCTGCAGTTTGGCTAATTCCAGGTGGTGAACATAAGCCAAAGTGGAAGTGAGGAGGGGGAGGTAAGGTGTAGCAGATGAGCTTCTCGGCTGAGACAAATAAGCTAATAAGCTAATACTCAAAGGACAAGGAGGAGTTAAAACAGGAGAAATGGATGATGTTCCAAGAAGGGGCAAGACAGACAGGAGAGGGACACAGAGAAAACTCTAGTATGGCAGGAACTGGGCATGCTGAAATGGAAGGGTGGAGGAAGTGAGAAATGTTGGGGGGAATGGCAAGACCTGAGGACAGAGAAATAAGAAAATCCCAGGTCATGAAGAATTAAAAAGTCTGGGCTTTATCCTGAGGTCAATAGGGAGCCACCAACAGGTTTCAGACGGAGGAAAAACACATTCAGAGCCCACTCTGGTTGTAATGTAGAAAACTGACTGAGGGAATCCAAAGACAACGATACCAAACAGTACTGAGGAAATCTAAGCAAATGGCCACAGAGGTCTGATCTTTCAAGGTAGTAGCAGTGAAAGAAAAACTACTGAGTTAGAGTGATAAGATGTAATGAATGGATTTGAGGAGGGAGGAAGATGAGAATTAAGAAAGCCAGGTTCTGATCTGGGTATCTGTACAGTTGGGGGAAAGATGTTGCCGATTCTCTGAAACTGCAGTCTACAAAGAAAGAATAATCCTAAAGATACAGCCAGATGCAAGGGCGACCAGGTCCTCACCAGTCTAGTGAACCATTCATTTATTTATTCATTCAACAAATACTTTATGATGCCTATCAGATGCCGGGCACTGCCGCACTGCAAAACAAAGACATGGTCCCTGCCCTCAAGAATCTCACAGTACGAGGTAGGCAGACTGACATTAAAAACAGGTAACTAGGACTCAAGACTGATAAATGTAATAAGCCAAGCCTTCAACTGACACACAAAGAGAATGTGCAGACTTCCAGGTTTCTTTTCATTTCTGCTCTGGCCGTCAAAGCCACTTTTCACTTCTGTGATGCTAAAACTCTTATGCAACTCCAAGCAACAGGCATGCGTAGAGACATTTCAAGAAAACACCTTTCACTGTTCGTCTAAAGTGACTGTCACCTTGGCAACTGAAGATTTAAGTTCCCTATCCTGTAACACCTCCAAATCCACCATGTCATCTTCACTGACAGTGTTCAAAGTAGAGTTTCACATCGCAAACGAAAACGCTGTTTCATCCAAAATGACATTTTAATTGAATTAATGACACAATTCATTTCATACAGCACTAAACTACAAAATTTGTCCCATATATATACATTTAATTTTTAAACTGCTGACTATCGGGTAAACTGTGCCTATCTGCTAGCCAAAAAGTAATCCCAGGAAGAGGGATCATCTGAACTCAGGGACTGGTACAAACCGCCCACTGGAAGTTTTGCTGCTCTGTGTCTGGTGCCTAATGAGTAAGTTACTTCCTAGTGAGGAATGGGAAAGGCTTTGTGATCACTGATAGCTTTCCTCCTGAATGTTTCCCACCTGCTGGCCTCCCTCTTGCTTACAGCCACCTACCATTCCCTAAGCAGAAACTTCAGAAGGACCCTTGTCTCCTTCCTTTACCCTCCTCACCTCCAATGCGTCCTGTCAATTACACTGCCACAGTGTGGCTCGGTTTGGGCCTTACTCATTACCCTGCCTTGACGGAGACCTCCTCTACTCTCATCTGGCCAATGTGGAGAGCCTTCTAACTAGTCTCCCTTCTGAGTCTCTCCCCATCCATTCTTGACATGGCCTCCAGAGTTAGCTCTCTAAAACACAGGATCAATTCTCTTTCCTGATAAGAGACAGAAAAGTCTATAAGCCCGGAGATGAAAATGCCAATTGTAAAACCTATCAGCAGTGAGCACAGTAGATCCTCAGTAAATATTTGTTAAAATTAAAGTTTACAAGTTCATATGCATTTTCTATAAAATCCGTGCCTATTAAATAGGAACCAATTAAAATCACTGACTGAACTGCCTCAAAGAAAACAGATTGTGTTTGGGGTTTTGGTGAGAAATTAACATGACTTTATTGGTTTTTCTAATTTTAAAAGTAATACATGATTATCTAAAAGTCAGAAAAAGTCTACAGAAGATAATTTAAAATACCATAGTTCCACCATCCCCAGATGGCTAACGCTTACTAAGAGCTTATTTTAATTGTGTTATCTAATTTAATCTTTACGAAAAAACCCTATAAGATAGATGCTATTATTATCTCCCTTCTATAGAAATTTAAAGAGAATGAGTAATTTCTGAAAAATAAGTGAAGCTAAGAATTAACAAACAAGTTAGTATCTTTCAGACTTTTTCTACTGGGCCTATATGTGTATGCCTTTTAAAAATAGGATCAATCTGTACGCACTATTTTATAGCCTGCACTTCCCACCCCACTAAGAAGTCATCAAAAGCTTTTCAGATCAATTAACATCACCATGTTTATTAAGGGCAAACACAGTAATAACTACTGATCCCCAACTACCTAGCATGCCGCCAATGACCGAGTAGGCAAATAAGTATTTGTTGAATCAATGAATGTCATGACTTATATAACCAAACACTGGGCTGGGAGTGTGGAGGATGCTAGGGGACGTAATTCCCCAATACGTGACTCCGGAAGGATCCAATATCCCACAGTGAACCTACCATGCTTCTCAAAAGGAATGTCATCTTCTACAAAGGGTTCAAAATCTTCCCGCTGCTTTATCATGTAGTCCACCGTCTCCTGCCTGTGCTTGAGGTGATTTCGTGAGTGTCCCTCCAATTGATCACCAAGAGCTCTGAACAAGCAATTGCTGTCAAAACAACAACATGGGTCAAGACCTTTCAAAAATGAACTTAGTTCATCTAAAATATGCTTGATGCCAATTATCCACGGAAATATTTTGTGCCCACAGATGTAAAGCCTCAACTCTAATAGTCCAGAATTCTTCCAAGACCCAGAGGGACAGCACAAGGGCATATTCAACCAAATTACCTCCTTGAAAGGCAGCAAACAAGGATTTTATTCCCCACGTACCAGCTGGCTGACTCAGGAGAGTCATTAAACTTCCCCAGGTCTCAGCTGCTTCAACAAGTGGAGCTGTTGATATACTAACCACCTGACTATAAGGTTCAGACCTTAATAGGCCAGTCCATGTCTAAGGGCTATGATTCACAGATCCTCTTCCAAAATGATGGCTTAATACTGCCTCTTTCCTGAAACAAGTTCCACTACAGCTGCTCAGCTAAGTAATCATTCATTTAACAAAGAGTACCCGAAAAACAACAATTTGTCAAGCTCCCGATACAAACAACTGAACTCAACACTCTGGGTCCTAAGAACAAAGTGGAGAAAGTCAGGAGAAAGAAAGCACTTGGACAACAGTTGCACTGTGGAAAGACATTTCCTCCTTGCCTCCTCATCTGTCACCCAGAGAGCAACAATGCCATTGTTATTCCTGCCAAATGAAAACTTTAAACACCATATTTTGTTTCTCTCAAATTAAAATACTGGTAATGAACAGTAAGAGTTATCTTTACTTTCAAACCCCTCAAAGGCTTCTGAATTTCAAACTATATCACACAGAGGCTCAGATACAGAGACTGAAACAAGACAAATACAATCTGGTATCCTTAAAACCATGGAAATAAACAATTCTGAAGCCAAACAGTTGCCTAAATGAAACTCTTTATCCCGTTTCTAAATGAAAAACTATGATACTCTAATTCCAAAATATAAACTCATCACTTTCAGAAAGATTTCATGTCTAAATGTGTACGAGAAAAGGAGGTTTTGTTTTTCAACTCAGAAAAGTGAAATTTCAACAGAAAGCTATAGAAAGGCAGGAATCTCGTCTAATGTTTAAGAAAATATACTCTTTTTTGGGGGGGGCAGGGGAAGGGAGAATTAAGACAGATTCTATAAATTAAAAAGCAAGAAGCTTTGCAACAATCTAAGGTAAGATTCTAGAAGGGACTGGAATATAGAGTTCTATAGGCTAGACAGAGGTGTCCTGCTAAAATCTGATAATGGTAGTCTTTTTTTAACCACAGAGAAAAGTAAGCTAATGGATAAAAGAATTTCAATTTCAAACTTTTCTCTCAAACTTTTCTTAAACCTTTAGCATCTGTCACCACTAGTCTCTTCTCGAATCTAGTTTAAGAGATGTGATTTATCACAAATTTATGTGTTTAGTTATTTTACATTTAATGTACCAAAATTCAGGGTATTCTACAGTTACACATTTGCTAAGAACTTTTAACAACATGAGTAAATTTTCTCCAGAAAAGCCAAAAAAGTAGGTGTAAAACTGTATATGCCACATGAGCTCAACCATGTTCATCTACATGCTATACACGAGCACAGGCATAAAAACACACACAAATCTATGCCAAGAAAATACACAGAAACCACCACCTCCTAAATCATCCGTACAATGTGCCAGGGACTGTTCTAAACACATTGTATGCATTAAACATGTTTAGTCCTCACAACTCTGAGACAGGTCCTATTAACAGCTCCCAGGGGAAACCTGCCCAAGGTCACAAAACTAGTGAGTGGTAGGCCCAGGACCCAAGTCCAAACAACCTGGCTCTCACGCAAATGTCAACCCCAAAATGACAGCCATAGCTGCCCCTGGGTAGTAGAATGAAGAGTAATGTATAAGAGTAATTGTTACATTTTTTAATATGCTTTTCTATACTTCCCAAACCTTGAAATCACTAAAAGCAAGTCAAAATAGACAAATCACTTCCTTTTCTGACAGGATTACAAGGTAATGAACAAATGCAACAGTGACCTGGGTTTCCTTAGGGGAGCCCAACAAGAGCACTCAAGAAACTCAAGAGCTCCACTGCCTGGGCCAATTCCTGAGTTCACAATCTCACCCACAACCTACAGCAGGGCTTCTCACTCTCCACACTACTGATGTTCCAGGATCATTTTTTGTCATGGGAGGCCATCCTATGCACTGTAGGAAGTTTAAGAGACTACTTGGCCTCTGCCATTAGCTGCCAGTAGCACATCACTACCTTCCTCCCCATCAGCTGTGACAACCAAAAATGTCTCCAGACACTGCCAAATGTCCCCTGGAGGGCAAAATCATCCCTGCTTGAGAAGCACTGTGCTATAGGGATATATGTCAGCTCTTGCATTTGAGTTCACAAAAACAACCAATTATATAAAGAGCATGCAAATGTTTTGAGTGCACAATAATTTAGTATTAGACAATCTTGTAACACAGGCACCAAAAAACCTAATGTGCTCTCTAGGCTGCAGTAATAATAGTAAATGTGCAGAAAAAGGAGAAGGTATTGTTCTATTCTTTGAGGTCAGACTATAGTTAGGGTACTGGGTACCATTCTAGCTACTGTATTTTACGAGAGGTATGTTCAGATAAGATGATGTGGCTTTAAATACAATATGAAGAACTATTAGTGATGTTTAGCCTAAAGAGGGCCCAGGGGGACACAATCAATACCTCCAACTGTAAGGTGAAATTAAAATTATACTTGTATACTAAAACTAAAACCTGGAAGCCATAGAGACATAGACTTTGGCAAATAAAAGGTAATTTTACCTTAGCTCTACAGAGGTAGACTGTATAGACTCATGATTTTGCGAATTTCTATAACTAGCAATTCACAGCAATTGTCTAGATATGTGTTAATTGTGACTGCCAACCGCATGTAACTACCAAGCACCTGACGTGGCTATTCCACAGTGAGACGTGCTATCAGTGTAAAATACTAGATTCTGAAGAGGTCATAAAAGCAAATATAAATCATTAATCATTTTTATATTGAATTCTATGTCAAAAATAGTAATATTTTAGATATAACAGCTTAAATAAAGTACACTAAAATTAATTTCAACTGTTTCTTTTTAATGTGGCTACTGGAAAAATGTAAATCACAGATGTGGTTCACATTCCATTTCCATCGGACAGCACTGATCTAGATCACTGATTCTCAAAGTGTGTTCCTTGACTTGGAATATCAGTATCCCCTGGGAACTTGTTAGAAATGAAACTCCTGGGCCCCCACACAGGCCTGCTAAATCAGATATTCTCAGGTTGGGGCCCAGGAATCTAGCCCTTCCAGGTGTTTTCCCTAGCACTCCAGGTGGTCATGTTGCATGCTAAAGTTTAAGAAACACTAGTCTAGAATCTAGACTCTAAATCGGTCATTTTCAATTACGGATGCATGTAAGAATCATGTGTGAACCTTTAAAAAAAAAAATCAATAACCAGGCCCCCACTCTAAGATTCTGATGTAGTTGATCTAGAGGAGAGCACAGGCCCAGAATTTTTTCAAAAGTTCCTCCCCAGATATTCCAGTATGGCACCCAGCTGAAAACCACTGAGCGAAGCACAAAACATACCACTGCTGTTCAGGTGATACAGGCACTAATTAGACAAGATGACATGTGAATGCCCTTCTACTATTATGACCCTACAATATTAACAACAAAACTAAAATAAAAAAATAAAACTACTTGTTAATAATCAAGATAAATAGCTAAAATGAGGGACTCTTCAACGTTTTACGTTTAGAACACTGCTAATGAGTAATGTAATTTAGAACTACGTTTAGTAAGATACAACTAGATATAGTTCAGAGGGATAGTATCATCCTGCCTAATACAGTTATACATTCTTTTCACACTACAGCCAATCATGTTTTCAAGGACAATGTCAAGGTTAAACTAGTTCTTGTTTTGAAAAATGAATGCAATTTATGTGGGTCCACCTCCAGACAACACACCAAATATGAAGCTGGTCCCGGACACATTACAAAACCCTCTAAGTAGCTCCCTAATTAATCTATGCTAAGCTGACTCAACCCATGTAAAGGCTATATTACAAGACACTGGCTAATTCATCCCTAAACTTACTCTCAGGTTCCAGAATGCTACAGGTACCATTCTGCCAACAATGAAGATGCCTATAGCTAGATACCATACCAGGCTACTCCAGACTGCACAGATCTGAATGACAAGAGGGAAGGCTAGAGACGCCAACTAGTTTGGAATAGTCTTTAACTTCATTATATTTCACCCTGAGTCCTTAATAAATATTAATAAAAGAATCTGTTGACACCTGCCAACCCACCACATATATAGGAAACACCATCCCCTGCAGTGATAAAGTCTGCCATCACCATATTCGAAAGGACTACGATACTGAAGAGGGCTGAACCACAGGCATCTAATGGTACTCAGGTGAGGCACTTGTGAACAGAAGGTGGTTACCTTCTTGAAGCCCACACAAGAGGAAATATCACTATCATTTTATCTAACACTGTCCAAAGAACAGGGACCTTAGAAGAGAGACATAAGCACTCCAGTCAAACCAGTCTCTGCAGCCTAGCTTCATTGTCCGTTACTTCTACTCTTGTGCCCTACACTACTGTCCCCCTGAACAACCTGTGGATCTCCCAAAAATAACGTGTCCTTGTGCCTCTGTATATACTCCTCCTCAGAGGGGAACGTCCTCCTGGTGTACTCCTATTGGTCCTTCAAGACCCAATCAGAGTATGATCCACTTTGACAGGCATCTAGCAGTGTATTCAATGAATATTTACCAAACGAATGAGAAGGCCTTCCTGACCAATTCATAGAGTGGTAGCCTTTTCCTTATCAATAATACCACTATAATCAGTCACTGTTCCTAAAAATATATCAAACTATATTTTAATTATTTGTATCATTTGTTCTCAAAGTGTAGCCCAAGGGACTGGAGATGTGGGAAGGTCCATGTATCCATGAGTCGAAAACTAAGATGTAATTTACCCTTTTCATTCTCATTCTCTCACAGTGGAGTTTTCCAGAGGCTACCTGATATATGAAGTTATCACTCTGACAGCTAATGGAATGTGTTGTGTATTCTTGTTTTAAAACTTTTACTTTCTAATAAATACTCACAGCTATAATCCATAGAAAGAAAAGCTCTTCAGGTTCCTCAGTAATTTTTAAGAATGCAAAGAGATCTTAAGACCAAAAAGGCTGAGACCCACTGTCACAAGTTTCTACCCTAGGCTATATATGAAGTCCTTAAGTATTTTAGTCATCAACATATTCCCAGCACCCTACTTAAGGTGTGCTAAATTAACTTGAGAAGTATGCTCTGTGTGTATGGGGGTGCAGGGGTAGGGAGAAGTAGCACCCCCAAAGTTTCATAACCTTATGAAAGCCCCCTCAAGAGTTTACAACTCCCTGTGCTGATTCCTCCTCTTAAGTAATCATCTGCTGAGCACTTCAGTTTCCTGCGCATGCTGACATTGAGAATACCATACCCAGTACAGCAGGCACAAGCAATCCAATCATTAGCAAGGAAAAGCCCCCATGTCCCACGCTAATTCCATTGTATTCAATTGGTATTTTAGCTTATATAACAGCGTCTTGTGCTTATGCTTAGGCTAGCTGGCCTCCCTCTATTTTATTTATATATATATATATATATATATATATATTTATTTATTTATTTTAGATGGAGTCTCGCTCTGTCGCCAGGCTGGAGTGCAGTGGCCAACTCACTGCAACGTCTGCCTCTCAGGTTCAAGCGATTCTCCTGCCTCAGCCTTCCAAGTAGCTGGGACTATAAGAGTGTACCACCACGCCCAGCTAATTTTTGTATTTTTAGTAGAGACAGGGTTTCACCTTGTTGACCAGCACGTTCTCAATCTCTTGACCTCGTGATCCCCTGCCTCGGCCTCCCAAAGTGCTGGGATTACAGGCTAGAGCCACTGCGCACGGACTATTTTTATATTTCATTTAGCAAAAATGCACTGACTGCCTTTTTTGTACCAAGCACTATGCCAGGTGACGGTGAATAAATGCAATCAAGCTCCAACTGCATCTTAAGCAAAAACAGCAACGCGGCAGCGTGGTGAATTCTTTGTGAGCAAAAAGAACTCCAATTTGCCTGAAGCAATGAGCATATATAGGAAAGGTGGGAAAGGTACTTTAAGATCCGTTCACAGTCTTAACCAACAAGCCGCAATGTCATGTGAAATTTTTAAGAACCCTTTCTTCCGCAGTTAATATCTAAGGCCATTCCTGGCCGGTGGGTGGCAGCTCATGCCTGTAATACCAGCACTTTGGGAGGCCGAGGCAGGAGGATCGCTTGAAGCCAGGAGTTCGAGACCAGACTGGGCAACGATCCCCATCTCTATAAAATAATAACAATAATGAACTAAGGCAGTTCCTTAGGGTCTTTCATTTCATTTCAGTCTTCCCTCTGCTGGACCTGAGCACTCAGACATGGGGAGGAAAAATACAAAAGCCAGGCTGTTATTAACACTCTCTTCCAAACTGACACATCTGACAATCAGATCCCCTTTCACCTGCCCTTGCAATGGGGATCCTAGCTGTTCTCCCCCCTTTCTGGCCCTTTCCCTTCTTCCGTCCATGTTCCTGGAGCCATATCCCCTTTCTTGAAGCTAATTTTCCTCCTCCTCCCCACTTTCTCCCTCCGCGTTGCCTAGAGAAAGCTGGATCTGGATTCGGTCTAAGTCCCAAGAAAGCTTGGGTAAGCACCTTTGCTTAGAGAGAAACTGAGGACCATGGAAGCAGGAATTAGAGAAGCTGCCTTCAGCTCAGTAAACAACAGGCCCTCACACACCTAATTTCACAAATGTAAATGGGGGCAACACACAACCAACAAGGACTCAAAGCGGTCAAAGCGTTCTACCGAGAGGGGCTTACTTCTCCTTCGAGTGATCTTACGGTCATGATGACTGTTTTCCCAATGCCTGGCTCTATCTCATTCCTTCGGAACTCAGCTTAAATGTCACCTTTCAGAGAGCCCTTCCTGGCCGCAATCCAGTGGCCCTGCTCCCGTAAACGCTCTTAGGACCCACTTTCGAGTTCATAGCTCGCGGCGTCTGCCACGACGAGGACCCTCTGGGATCCCAGGGAGCGCCTCGGAGCCAGGGGCTCGTCCGCCTCGCTCGCAGCCGGACGCCCTGGCCTCGGAGCGTGGCTGGCTCGCGGGAGGCGCCCAGGCCGCCCGAATGAATGGATCGACGGACCCGAGCGGGCGACGGTGGCCAAGCCGAGCCCGGCGCGTCCCCCGGCGCCGCCTCCCTAGCTCCCGGCCCGCCTCACCCGTCCCCCGGCACCTCCCGCAGCTTCAGCCCCAGGGCCTGCAGCTGGTTGGCGAAGCTAACGAACTCCTCCTCGCAGCCGCCACCGCCGCCGGACTCCGGCCGGTTCCGCCGCTCCTTGGCCAGGGCCCGGCGCGTCGCCCGCTCGTCCCGTTTGCGCTCGGCCTCGGCTTTCCGGCTGCCGCTGCCCGGCCGGCTCTTTGCCGCCTGCTTTCGGGACATGGCCTTAGCCCGCAGTCCCCAGCGGCAGAAGGGAAAGCCGCAGGACCCACCGGCGGCCGCCTCAGGTGTCCAGAAGGCAAAACAGTGCGGGCGACGGAGCCCGGCGACGACGACGCGGCCACCGCGCCTGCGCCGGTGCCCGGCACCATGGTCACGTGATAGAATCCCCGCCTCCTTCGCGGGGGGGGGTGCTCAGCGAGCAGATGCCATTGAGAACTAGAGGGACACCCGTCTTGGTTTGTTTTCTTTCGCCCTCTAGCGGTGGGCGGTACTCAATGTAAGTGGCAGGAGCGACCGGAGAGGGACCGGAGCGAACAAAGCAGAGAAAAAGTCAAGGAGAGAAATTAAAGATGATAGAAGAGTGGAACGCGGAGCAGCGGCAAAAGTTAGGACGGGGGATGAATAAAAACGATTTAAACTCTTGTAGCCTACTACTTGGATAGGCAGTTTCACACGGCTCATTCTTGTTTAATTATCCCCACGTTACAGGACACTGAATCTGAGAGGTTAATTTCAAGATCACGAAGCTAAGAGGCAGTGCTTTGCCCGGGTTCCAAAGCCCGCACACTCGTTTATTTCATCCTGCCCTTCATGTCTCCGCTTTCCTTCATAACTCAAGGGAGAGGTCGCCCTTCTGTCCAAGAACTCTGGAAATCCTGATTCTATCCTAGAGTAACCCACCTGGGTTTGCCACTAAGGGTTTTCTTGGGATGCAGGACTTTACGTTTTAAAACTGAGACAGGCGGGGCGCGGTGGCTCACGCCTGTAATCCCAACACTGTGGGAGGCCGAGGCGGGCAGATCACCTGAGGTCAGGAGTTCAAAATCAGCCTGACCAACATGGTGAAACCCCATCTCTACTAAAAATGCAAAAAAATTAGCCGGGTGTGGTGGTGGGCGCCTGCAGTCCCAACTACTCAGGAGGCTGAGGCAGGAGAATTGCTCGAACCGGGATGTGGAGGTTGCAGTGACCCGAGATCGTGCCATTGTACTCCAGGCTGGGCAACAAAAGTGAAACTCCGTCTCAAAAAAAAAATACAATAAAACAAAACTGAGACAGTCCTAGGAAAACCAGGATGGTTAGTCAGCCTAATCCATACCCCCTGTTCTGGAACCTCCCTCCATCAATGGTCCCCTCTGCTCCCTCATCCTGTTTCTTTCTTTTTAACCCTCTCTTTTCCCATAGTAATGCCACTTCCTTCTCCTTTTGGCTCTTTAACCAATCTTACCATCCCTGGGAGTGTTTCCAATGTTTTTGCCCTTAATCATCTTATTCTCGGCCAGGCACGGTGGCTCACACCTGTAATCCCAGTACTTCGGGAGGCTGAGGCGGGCAGATCACCTGAGGGCGGGAGTTCGAGACCAGCCTAACCAACGTGGAGAAACCCCATCTCTACAAAATTAGCCGGCGTGTTGGCACATGCCTGTCACCAGCTACTCAGGAGGCTGAGGCAGGAGAATCGCTTGAATCCAGGAGATGGAAGTTGCAATGAGCCGAGATCACACCATTGCACCACAGCCTGGGTGACGAGAGTGAAATTCCATCTCAAAAAAAAAAAAAAAAATCTTATTCTCTCACTCTGCCTACAAGTTCCCGTTTGGCAATAGCCTCCACTGCCTCAATTTCAGCTAGCATCTCTATCATCAATATGTAAATAACGTAACTCTCATTTCCTGTGCTGGGTGTCAGGTAGAACACCCAACCAGAGAGACCTAATGATTGTCATCAAGGAGCCCAGAGTCCAGTGGGGGATACAGGCAAAGCCGTTACAATACTGCATGGAGCACAGTGTGTCAGGGAAAGGTGAAAAGTGGAGTAAAAAATGCAAATGGCGGCCGAGCACGGTGGCTCACGCCTGTAATCCCAGCACTTTGGGAAGCCGAGGCGGGTGGATCACCTGAGGTCAGGAGTTCAAGACCAGACTGACCAACATGGTGAAACCCCATCTCTACTAAAAATACAAAAATTAGCTGGATGTGGTGGCAGATGCCTGTAATTCCAGTTACTTGGGAGGCTGAGGCAGGAGAATCGCTTGGGCCCAGAGGCGGAGGTTGCAGTGAGCCAAGATTGCACCACTGCTCTCCAGCCTGTGCGACAGAGCGAGACTCCATCTCAAAAAAAAAAAAAAAAGAAAAAAGAAAAAGAAAAAGATAAAAAGATAAAGATAAAGAAAAAAAAATGTCAATGGCTTCCCAGAAGAGCTGGGTCCTAAATTGAGGCTTAAAGTTCTCAATGAGGAGAACTTGGCTAGACTAATAACATTGAGAGCAGAGGAGACTGTGTCTCCAGAGCCAGAGCCGGTTTTGAGGAACAGACCGAAGTTCTATCCGACAGGCACAAGGGGCATGAGCCATGAGGCAGGAAGTGGAAGGAAGGGTCAGATCTATCAGGATCTTACAGGCCATATGAAGGGGGTTAGCCCAAGTCCTTAGAGCCATGGGGAGCCATTGAAGGGTTTTAGTTAAGAGACTGGCACATCACATCGATAGAACTATGACTCTGGCTGTAGCAGGGAGAATGGGTTAGAGGTAGGAGAGCGGCAGGCTTTGTTTTCCCATCGCAACCCCAATTGAAGCAGGATCTAGTCGAAACAGGGTGCAGTGAGACAGCTGGCTGAACCAGCAGATGGTGACAAAGCTGCCTGTAGCTGCCCTCACTGCTCCTCAGCATAAAGACACTCCCATCAGCACCATGACACTTTACAAATACCGTGGCAGTGGCCCAGAAGTGACCTTATATGGTTCTGGAAACTCTCTGCACATTTTCCAGAAGGTGCTGAATAACTCATTTCTTAATTTGCATATGATTTAAAGACTGTATAAATATAGCAGTGAATAGCCCCTATGCTGCCAACTTTGGGCACACTGCCTATGGGTTAGCCCTGCTCTGCAACGAGCAGCACCAGTTCAATAAAGTTGCTTTCTAAGCCGAGCCTCTGGCTTATGCCTGCAATCCCAGCACTTTGGGCAGCTAAGGCTGGAGGATCATTTCAGGTCAGGAGTTCGAGACCAGCCTGGTCAACATGGTGAAACCCCATCTCTACTAAAAATATATAAATTAGCTGAGCATGGTGGTGGACACCTATAATCCCTGCTACTCAGGTGGCTGAGGGCTGAGGCAGGAGAATCACTTGAACCTGGAAGGCTGAGGTTGCAGTGAGCCAAGATTGCACCATTGCACTCCAGCCTGGTGACGACAACCAGACTCTGTCTCAAAAAAAAAAAAAAAAAAAAGTTGCTTTCCCTCATCACTGGCTTGCTCTTGAATTCCTTCCTGAGTGAAGCCAAGAACCCTTCCAGACTAAACCCAAATTTGGGGACTTATCTGTCCCATATCAGGTTGAAAGGAGAATGCAAGGCAGGAGGCTCCTCTAGGTGCCCAAAGACACGTGATGGTGACGACTTGGGCTGGAATGGAGAAGAAGTGCAGATTGGAAAGACAGATACCACATGTGACTAAAAGTTCACAAAACAGAGTTCACAAAAGTTCACAGAATTGCACTAAATCATGGGCTGTTTCACATACTTCATGGTTTCTGAAATTCCTCCTCTACAGATTCTTCCTTTGTTCTCAGAAAGAGAGAGCGTGCATTGTGACTGGCCTCGCCCTTTTCTGCACAGACATCCGAGGCCTCCACTGACCCCTCAGCTCACATTAAGTAAAACTGGGAGGCGGTGTTGGGAATGAAAAACTCCCTAGACAGGGTGGTAGAGACCTAGGTTCTGGTCCAGGTGTGTCAGTGACTGACTCCTTGACCTTGGGTTAGTTGCTGAACCTCTTAGCTTCCGTTTCTTCATCTATAAGATGGGAATAATGACAGTGAACACCAAACACAATTAGAATCACAAGACTTTATGGCGTTTACTATATGCCATGCACTACAAATCCTTTTTTTTTTTTTTTGAGAAGGGGTTTCACCATGTTGGTCAGGATGGTCCCCAACTCCTGACCTTGTGATCCGCCCGCCTTGGCCTCCCAAAGTGCTGAGATTACAGGCGTGAGCCACTGCACCTGGCCAATACTATCTTCTTCATCAATACAACAACCCAATGGAAAATCTACTATTTTGAGGAATTATGGCAAAAAGATTAAGAGGTTTTTTTTGTTTTTTGTTTTTTGTTTTTTGTTTTTTTTGAGACAGAGCCTTGCTCTATCACCCAGGCTGGAGTGCAGTGGCACAATCTCAGCTCACTGCAACCTCCACCTCCCGGGCTCAAGTGATTCTCCCACCTCAGCTTCCCAAGTAGCTGGGATTACAGGATCCTGCCACCACACCCAGCTAATTTGTGTGTGTTTAGTAGAGACCGGGTTTCACCATGTTGGCCAGCCTGGTCTCCAACTCCTGACCTCAAGTGATCCTCCCTCCTCAGCCTCCCCAAGTGCTGAGATTACAGGCATGAGCCACCACACCCAGACAAGAAATTTTTTTATACAAGAAAAATGTACTACTCATTGCCACTTTATAGATGAGAAAACCAAGGCACAGAGAAGTTCAGTAACTTGTCCAAAGTCACACAGCTAGTACGTGGCAGAGCCAGATTTGCAGCCAAGCCATCTGGCTCTGGGGTGTGTGTGCTCTTAACCTCTACATATGTGATTTTCCATAAACCGCAGTGTGTTCTACATAATACATACATTAATGTCATTATTATCTTACACAACCCTACTGGTTGCTGTCTTTCTACTGTCTCTGTTGTCTCATGTCATGATTGATTTTTCTGTTTAACTTTCTCTGCATTAAAGTGGATCACAGCCGGGCGCGGTGGCTCACACCTGTAATCCCAACACTTTGGGAGGCCGAGGCAGGTGGATCACAAGGTCAAGAGATCGAGACCATCCTGGTCAACATGGCGAAACCCCATTTCTACTAAAAATACAAAAACTAGCTGGGCATGGTGGCGCGTGCCTGTAATCCCAGCTACTCAGGAGGCTAAGGCAGGAGAATTGCCTGAACCCAGGAGGCGGAGGTTGCAGTGAGCCGAGATCGCGCCACTGCGCTCCAGCCTGGGTAACAAGAGCGAAACTCTGTCTCAAATTTAAAAAAAATAAAAAAGGAAAAAACAAAGTGGATCACAAATATTTAAAGCCAGATTGGCCTGCATTTTCATCCCTGTTTCACCTTAGGCAAAT